GTTTTGCGGTGAAGATTGACTTTCAAGTGAGGATGGAAGGAGAAAAGACATGGAAATCTCCACTAGACCCTGCGAGTTTCACAAATGGAAAATGTTGTCCTTAGTGGTCTGTGTGCTGTATCCTGAGGCTCACTTCTCAGCTGTGGGTTATGAAAGTTGAAGGTCCACCAACAACAGTGCTTCTTACAGTGGTAGCTGCTATTTATGAACATTATCCATACTAGAACAGCTGCCTTTACTGATCATGGCTCATCTCAGGGCCTCCTGCAGACTGCACGTGTTCATATGTGTAAAGCACTAAATATACCTAAGATATTTAAAATATTGAATAATTGAGCTATAATTAATGTAACCATTGTGTTGGAGAGAAAGTGAAGACTTGAACTGGTGACATTTGTTGTTTAAAGCTCCACCTTAGAAAGCAGCAGAGCCAGAATTGGACCTCAGTCTCAGTGGCCTGATTCTTGCAGACTTGTGCTCTGCACCCTCTCCCACCCCATATTCCTCAATGGACTCAGGTTTTCTTTTCCTATCCTGCAAACATCTGACAAGGCATTTAAAAGATGATGTATTTGGTAATCTCTAACTCACTCATTTTAAAACATCAATGCAACCAGGAAGTACGGTGAGAGATGGGGCCAGGCTAACAAGACAAAGTTGCAAAATGGCGGATCTACCCTGATTGCAAGATTGCGTAGGGAGCCTTGTGTCACCCAGGCAACCTGTGCCAACCTCAGTAGCCCCCTGTGTGGCGAGGTCCTAATATGCACCAGTCACCCTTATGTACAACATCTTCCTTTGGGGCCAAAAGTCACCATCTTCTGATACAAGAGGAAACCACAGGCCAGAGAGAGGAAATTACTTGCCCAGTGTCACAATGATTAAAGTGACCAAAGATTTCCATTCAGTGACCATGGATTCTAAATGGGAACTCTGCAGTTCTTGTGAATTCACCATTTTTTAGTACATTCACATTCCTGTCTTTATGATGATTATTTTAGTGGTTTTGCTTTTTCCTCAGAACCCCTAACTTGCTCCACTACTTTTACACTCAACTTAGGCCCCTGACTGATATTTCACTGAGAAAATGATAATAATTTGAGGTTAACTTTTTAGACTTCTCTCCCCAAACCTTTCCAATCTGCTTACACCTGTGCTATGGCTAAAGAGTTCTTGTACTCTCAGAAGACTGACCTTTTAGTGTGGTCCTATTCTCTCTCTCTCTCTTTCCCCAAAATTTGCCTCCTGCATTTTTCTTTTAATTTTTTTGCAAAATAACTCCCCAGATTTCCTTTCTGCTATTTGAGTCCCAGTGTCATATGCACATTATGATAGCCTTTCCTTCAAAAAGATACAATCCTTGGCCTATGTTCCTTTCCAACTTCAGCTCTATTTCTCTGAAAAGGTCACTTTCTGTGAGAAGAATTAACAGCCAGACTTTAGAAGGGGGTGTCTCTAACTGTCCTCTCCTCTTCTTGTCTCACATCTGCTCCTGGTCTCACTCCACATAGCCTTGGCCCTCAGCACTCACCAGTGTGGTCTCCTGGAGGAGGCTTAACAACTCTGTGTTACCAAATCCAGCAGTCCCTTCTCCGTTCTTGTCATGATTCCATTGCCATAGGATCCATGAGACTTCTTCCTTCCTGAGACAAGTTTTTCTTTAGCTTTGAGAAGATACCATGCTCACATGACCACTTACAGCTCATTTGGTAATCTCTTTCCAGTGCAATATGCTGGTGTTTTGTCCACCAAACTTGAGTCTAAATTTTGGATTGTGCCTGTCCCCACCCGCCCATCCTCTGCAGTCTTTCCATAGGTGATACAACCCAGTCTCACAGCTTAAAATGTCTTACTAATGATTTCTAATCTAAATCATCAGCTTTGCCCTGAGGCCCTATGGTGATATAATCAACTGATTTCCTGACACCTCACCGTGGGAATTCAAGAGATACCCCAGGCCTAACATTGTCCACACTAAACTTTGATATGTCCCACTCTCCCAGTGCTGCCTATTCTGAACTTACTGATGCAGTTACCAAAGCTCCACATACAGATCTCATCTTCAGTTTCTTTCCCTTTACCCTTTCAAGCCAATCCTAGGCCAATGGATCCCAAACATACTGAACATGGAGCCAGATTCATGCCCACCCCACTATCCTGGTCCCCGGCCCTTCAGATTTTCACTGACCTCACAAACAATTTGGTCAAACATGCAGCTCCCTACTAAAATACATTCTCTACAGAGAAACCCAATAATCTTTCGAAAGGACAAATACATGGCATTGAGGATGGCATGGTGGTGCATGCCGGTAAAGGCAACTACTCAAGAGGCTGAGAAAGGAGAATGGGCACTGGGTAACTTAGGCTCTCTCTCTAAGCAAATTTTGTTTTCAAGTGTAGGAGTGTAGCTCAGTAGTAGAGGAGTCCTGACCCATGACACAAAGTCGCTTCCCCAGGCCCAGCCTGTCTCAGGAGATTCTTGTCTATTTGTTGATTAATTTATTTTCCCCCCTCCAATACCCTGTGCACTGGAACATGTTACTAAAATAAAAATTAATCTCTGCATGGTGGCACACATCTGTAATCAGGAAGATAGTGAGTTCAAGGCCACATTAGCAATTTACTGAGATATTGTCTCAAAAAACTAAATACATAAGAATAAAATGAATAAAAATTATTAATGACATCCTTTGCATCCTGTTTTTCATACTCAGAACTGAACGTGCCAGGTGTGTTTTACACTCAGTACATTACGAGTTGAAAGCTCAGCAGCTGTCTGAGTCAGGTGGGTACTATATGGACAGCTCCAAATGAGAAGTTAGGAAGTGTCTGTTATACAATAGCAATTCAAAACATAATTCTTTTTTTTTTTTTTTTTTTGGTACCGGGGATTGAACTCAGGTCCTTGCTCTTGAGAGGCAGGCAATGGAACCCCTGGGCTAAATCCCCGGCCCTACAAAACATAATTCTTACATCTTCAGACTACAAGTTACCACCAGCTGAGGTCCCCTTTCCTGTGGTGACCTCCTGGCTTCCTGTGGAGTCAGTCAGGCTGTTAGCCTCAGCAGAGATTTATTGAAGGAGAGGGAGGGACAATCAAGCCACACCCAATCAGGTGAGAGAAAAATAGAGGTTCCTTACAGTTTCCTGAAGGTACTGCAGATGAGACAGCAGTAGACTCTTAGAAAGTGCAGGTCTGGATGTTTCCTCAGCTCCGTCCTTCTGTGTGAGACAGAGGGTCTGTGAGTATCAGGGCGCAGGAAGCAAATGCCAGGCTCTGTCTTCTTCTTGCAAGACCCTGTCTCTAAAAAAAAAAGAAAGAGAGCCAGAAAAGGCAAGGCAGGGTGGTGTAGGGTGGGGCGAAAAGGAAAGGAAAGGAAAGGAAAGAAAAGAGAATAGAAAAGGGCTCACCCTGGCTACATGGCTTCTCCACCCACATAACTGTTGCCTTGCAGGATTACAGCCCAAACGTTACCATCTCAGGCCCCCAGCTAGAGACTTTGCTGTCCTCAGAGGTCACTGGAGAAGTTCAGCTACTAACAGGGCTGGGGATTTGTGCAGCACCAGCTGGGATTCCCTGCCCTCCAGCTCAGCCCCAAGGCCACTTCCCTTGGGCATGCCTGAATTAGGCAATGGGACCACACAAGGGCACAAGTCTACCCTGAGACTTTCCTCCTTTTCTTCACCCTAACAGCTTTGCTGCACACCCTGTTCAGAGTGTTTTTGCAGACCCTGGTGCATTAATCATTGGCCATTTGGGAGCAAGAAACAAAACCTGCTTATGCTTTAATAAAGGGAGGTCACGATGGGGCACAGGCAGGAGCATACCACTAGCCCAGCCGCAGGAGGAACTGTCCGACTTCTGAAGACTTCCAACTTTGTCCAGCAGCACTCTGTGCCATCCCTGGTCCCTTCTTCTCCATGCATAGCTCTGCCCTTGCCAGTCTCTTCTCTGTAATTCTCCCCCAGGATTTTGCCTTCCTTGTGACTATTGAACATATTCATTCTTATTACCTCTCTACCCCCTGAGAACCTTCTAAAGTGCATCTGTTATGGATGACCACAAAGAAATTTTTATAACATAGAAATCTGTACATAACTCATTTTTTATTTAAAATCTTTGGTAATTTTCTGTTTCATCCTTATTCTTCTGTCTTGGGATTCTGTAGTATGGAGTCAGGAGCTGTGGCAGCTATATTGCCACCATGAGGTATCAATCAGGAAGAAATCCACAGTACTGAAAGTGGCACAGTTAAAATAGGCATGGTTTTTATTATTTTATTCAAAAAGCACTTAGCCTATTGCTGACCACCTCCAAAATTTTCATAATGTGTGCTATAAATGTCCTTGGTTTAAGTCATTGGTAAGTGTAACTGTTTACTAGTTAGAATTAAAAACATCCTTTTTGGAACAAGGCATTGGAAATATTTTTTGGATAACTGCTCTTACCTCTGTCTCTGAACCAGTCTTCATGTTTTTATCCAAAATACCCTGGAACTTTAGTTAAGATTTCCTGAAAACTCAAACCTCGCTGGGCTGGAGCCCTGTGAAGGAGCTCACAGGGGAGGGGGGCTGGGGGGCTGTCTTCACTGCGGTGGCTATGGGGAGTGCTTGGTCCTGTCCAGTTGCCTGAACTCCTCTATCTCCTTTTCAACTCCGTGTGTATTTCTGGTTTGTGTCCCTTTCCTTTTCATCTATGCCTTTCACTGCTTACTACAGATCCTTCTTACCACAATATTTCCCCTCTCTCTTGATTCCTTGACAGAGAGGGACCCTATTCCTTGAGCTTTGATGCTGAGAGAGCTGAACCTCCGCTTCCCATGGAGGACTGAGGTTGAAGAAAACATTCAAGCACTCCAGGTTCTGAAGGGATCCAGGCCACTCCCCAAATGCTATGAAAACAGATGTTCCATTGGTGCATTCTTGTGGTCACTGTAAATCATCAGGAACTTTTGTTTCCTGTTTCATTTCCTAATTGGTCAGTTCCTTTCCCCCTTTCCCCTTGGTATATCTTCAGCTTCCTTAGAGCAGAGTCACTGTCCCCAGGAGATCAGAACTTAGAACCAACTTAGGCAAGGACGGCAGCTGGAGGATCATCCAGGTGAGAGACTCACGTATGGGGCCTGGGGAGCTTGGCAAGGGTGAATGCCATAGATTGGTGGGCACAATAAACACTTTGTAGTGAACTGTAGTGGAATGCAAGAGGAAAAAGTGAATATAGAAAATTCACACCATTCTCTCTGGATGTTTCTCTATGAAGGAAAGCCAAGGACTTGTTTAGAAACTAAAAGTAATATAAAATTGAGGAGTAATATTTTTTAAGATGAAGAAGTTTTAGGAGATATGGGGGTGCTGAAGGGAATGTTGGCATAGAGGGGTAATATTGATGCTGCTGGGGAAAGGGGACAAATGAGAGGGAAGCTCTTAAGAAAGAGGATGGGGTAAGTTTTGGAGGCTGAGTACAGAGCATGTCTGGGCCAGGACACTTGTTTTCTTACATCATGGAGGTGAAGCCACACAGCAGAGTAGGGATCAGGCCAATGGTCAGCTATCGTGGGAGGCAAGGGCATTAGCTGTGTTGGGGCGGAAGAGGAGGCTCCAGTGTCGAGGAGAAGGCAGCAGGACATGAAGTCTGGTCTTGAGGTTCTCGTGGGATCCATCAGCACAATTCAGCTTTGTCAGCTGGAGAACTGCAAACTTACTTCCTCTCTCAAAGGCTGGTTGTTTTTTTTTGTTTTTTTGTTTCTTTTGGGGTTTTTTTCCTTCACTCAGTGTTGAGGTGTTGCTTAGTCAGTATAAACTCCCAGAGATCAGAAGCAGGTGAGGGTGTGGTACAGTGATGGCCAGGCTGAAAAGACTCAAAAAATGGCAGCCATGGTGACTTATGTTCACTGTGAGTCAATTTTTCTCCTCCGAATCTTGGTAGAGACATAGTTCATAGCTTTTCTCTCTGGTGTGCCCTAACCTGTTGTTGCAGAATACCAGAGACTGCCCAGTGTATGATGTGGGGTTGAAGAAAGACTCAAAGATAGAATTAAAGAAAAAAGTAGAGAGCCAGGATGGCCAGTGCTGAGCAATCTGCAAAGGCCCTGGTCAGTCCAAACCACTGATTTTTATTGGTAATCAGATTGCGGTAAAGGGGAACTATGTGCGAGGATGTGCATTCATGCAGTTGCTATGGATACTAATGCAGGCAAGGCTTGTAAAGGAAAAGACAAAACATTCTCAAATTAAGAACAGAATAGACAAAATATAGGGTTCTACTTAGAACTTTGTCCTTCTAGTTAAGAAAGTTTTAGTTATGGGAATGGAATTTGGGTGTGAGTTACTACAACCTCAGCTACTATATGATCTCATATTGAGCTCCAAAGCTTCACAGGCCATTTCTCTGGTCTCTGCTGTGGCCATTAGCAAGAAGGTTGTGCTAACCTGTGTGATACTGTAGTGCTTACCAAGTGCTTCTGTGAGTCACGTAAGCTTCAGTCAAACTCACTTCTTAAAATGAGCCAGTTGCAGGGTTAGCTTTGCAGCCTACACTGCTCACAGCCTGCTTTGAGTAATCAGCAAGGTGGTCCCCTACAGCGGAATCTTCCTTTTTCATTGCACTTATGTTTTCCACCATACTTTAGAGATTCTTGAGAACAAACAGTGCTCAGCCTGACCTGGCAGTTGGAGGGAGGGTAGAGGGGCATCTCAAGTTGTTTCTGAGACTGGAACAATGAGGATCAGCAAGAATGTAAGCTACCTATGAAATTAAAATTGTCTAGCAGGCACTTTAAGAAAGTAAGAATAAACTAATGAAATTAATCTTAATGCCTTCTTTTATTAAATAATTATATATTTTATATAGCCATATTATTATTTCAACAGGTAGTCAGTGCAAAAAATTGAGATATTGTACATTACTCTCTTCCTGCACACTACTTTTATATTAAGTCTTTCAAATCTGGTGGACATTTGCTCTTACAGCCTATGGCAATCTGGACTAGTCACAGGTCCAGTGTGTGAAGCCCCATGTGATGAATGGTACTGTGTGGTTCTTCAGCTGCAGACGTGGTAACATACAGGCCAGGGTCAGAAACAGACCTTTGTTGGAGTTTCATGGAACTGTTAAGTGACTTTAAGCAATTAACTTAAATGTTCTGTTTCCTGACCTGCTCAAAGGGTGGAAAGAAAGGAAGAGAGGGAGGAGCAAAGGCAGGGAGGGAGGGAGGGAGACAGAGGGAGGGGGAGGGAGAGGGAGGGGAGGAAGGAGAAGCATGAAAACTCCTAAAGTTATTCAGTATGGACTCTGTCAATCCACGACTCATGCCTGATGGTGTTACCTCACTACATCCACACAAAAATTATTTGAAGAAGCCTGCTGCAAAGATGAGAAGAGAAGGCAGCTCCCTTGCCCAAGCCTGACATATACTTTGCATATCTCATCACACGAAATCTCAGGCCCAGCTCATGTGTCATGCTGTTCTTCACCCCAAGAACACTGAGCCATGCGCTGGTCAGAGAAGAGCATCCTGCCCACCTACCAAGATGATCACAGAGAACAAGGGGGAAGTGAAGCTCCGTTCTGACTCCTCCTACCACAGAACCAGCCAGATGTAATATGTGCTCTCTCAATCCCTCATGGTTCCATTCTGCCTATCTTGGAAAACTAATCAAATATTTATTATGCTTTACCTCTATAACGACAGAGGGAAGGGTCCTTTCATGGCCCCTAGCAGGAAGCAGCATCTGAGAGTTGTGGATGGAGGTTTTAAATCGTGACTGTGTGAGTCTGGTCACTGAAGCTTTCTACCACTGACTTCCTGATGCTTATAGACCTTTTTTCCTTTAAAAGTTTGTGGTAAAATACGCATAATGAAATTTACTTTTTAAGTATACAATGCAGTAGCATTAGGTGCATTTAAAATGTTTTGCAACTATAACCACTACCTAGAAACTGCTTTCCCATTAATCAATAATCTAATCCCCCAGCCCTCGGAAGTCGCTAGTCTGGATGTGGTGAATTCATAGCAATATGTGGCATTTTGTGCCTGACTTTTTATGTAATGTTCCAAAATTCATCTATAGCATGTATCTGTGCTTTGTTCTTTTTTATGGCTTCGAAATATTCAATCATGTGGAAATACCACATTTTCATTATCAGTTGATGGACAGCTAGGTTGTTTCCATATTCTTTCTACTGTGAAGAGTCCTACTATCAATGCTCATGTACAATATTTGTTTGAGCACCTATTTTCTCTACACACCTATTGCTCAATATACAGTATACAATATCACAGGGCCAGGATCTTCCTTAGGCACGTAATCTGCCTGGCAGGTGTATGGTAACAAGTGCAGGAATATGCGGCACACCGTTAGGCATAGGGGACTGTGGTGAGCTCGTTCTGGCTGGCATAGGAGCTCAAGGGGAAGGTGAGAGAGTGTGGCTGGGGAAAGTGGTGGGTGCTGAAGGAAGACAATGAGAACCCGAATGCAGGTCATAACTAAACAATACCCATTGCCAAACAATTTCAGGTAAGGACAAGATGGTGACCAATGCCTCTCTCCCCATGAACGAGTCTGCAGGGACTCTGACTGCACCTGCCGGCTATATTGTCCTGGACGTCTTCTCTTATGCAGTACTGGCCGTCACCTTTGTCCTGGGTGTGCTGGGCAATGGGTTGGTGATCTGGGTGGCTGGATTCCGCATGAAGCGCACAGTCACCACCATCTGTTACCTGAACCTGGCCTTAGCTGACTTCTCTTTCTCTATGACTTTGCCTTTCCTCATGGTCCAGCAGGCCTGGGGAGGAAACTGGCCTTTGGGTTGGTTCATGTGCAAGTTCATTTTTACCATAGTGGACATTAACCTGTTTGGAAGTGTCTTCCTGATTGCTCTGATCGCTCTGGACCGCTGTATTTGTGTCCTGCATCCGGTGTGGGCCCAGAACCACCGCACTGTGAGTCTGGCCAAGAAGGTCATCATAGTGCTGTGGATATGTGCCCTGCTCCTTACCTTGCCAGTTATCATTCGTGTGACTACAGTGATCTGTTCACCTGGGAAAACAGCCTGCACCTTTGACTTCGCACCCTGGACCACAGACCCTGAAGAGAACATGAAAGTGAACATCTCCATGCAGACTGTGCGAGGGATCATCCGGTTCATTATTGGCTTCAGCCTGCCCATGTCCACTGTTGCCATCTGCTATGGTCTGATTGCCACGAAAATGTACAGGCAAGGCCTGATCCAATCCAGCCGTCCCTTACGGGTTCTCTCTTTTATCGTCATTGCCTTTTTTCTCTGCTGGTGTCCTTTTCAGGTGGTGGCTCTCATAGCCACCATCAGAATCCGAGACTTCTTGAGTGGGATGAGTGGACACCTTAGAACTGCAGTGAAAGTAACAATTTCCGTGGCCTTCTTCAACAGCTGTCTCAACCCGATGCTCTATGTCTTCATGGGCAGGGACTTCCGAGAGAGACTGATCCGCTCCCTGCCCGCCAGTCTGGAGAGGGCCCTGACCGAGGACTCCACCCCGACCAGTGACACAACAACCAATTCCCCTGCACCTCCTGCAGAGGTCCAGTTATAGGAGATGTGAGGAGGAGGCTGGGAATGCTTTTGTGGCTCCAGATCCCCCTCTCACGCAGGGTGACCCACTGATTAGGGACAATTCCTGGTGTCCCCTGCTTTGAAGTGAAGAAATAAACATGAGGTTACTATTGCTGTCTTTTCTTTATTTTGGGATTTCAACCTGGGGTGGTCAGAAGTGAGAAAAGATCGGGGAGCTCATGCACCCTCATTAGCTGGAAATGGTCCTGATTATGCTCTAATATAATTATTACTGAGATCCACTTCTGTTCTTAAAAGCTATGCTCGCTGGACAGTGAATAATTAGCTCTCTCCAGGAAAATGAAGAAGGTGGGAGAAGTACAAAATATAAATTAAGTACTTTCTAAAAAGCTTCAGCTGTTAGTGATCAATAAGTAGATAAAGATAAAAAGCCAAGGGCCAGGGATTTAGTTCAGTGGTGCCATGCTTGCCTTGCAAGCACAAGGTCAAGAGTTCCATCCCCAGTACCAAAAAAAAAAAAGACCCCTAATACCTAGAGTTACACATGAAATTGCCCAATCTCTTGCATTATAAAACTTGGAAACTCAACTATCCTCCCCACAGTACCTCTCTTTTCACTTTTTACTCCAAATGTGGCCGGAATAGAATTAATCCAGTATCTGGTGCTTACTGCCCTTGTCCCCAGTGTGATTAACCCAGGGTATGACTCAGGCATCAGCCTCAATTTCCTTGTAAGCTACTTGCACGAGGGCCTTAGACATGGGACATAGTTTGTGTGGAGTTAGGTAATGTGGGATGTGTCCTGCGCAGCCACAGATCATGAGAAAGCATCCAGTTGAACTCTAGTAGCTCTTGTCCCCGAATGTCCTCCTCTGGATTTTTGCTTTTCTGCAATTCAGAGACTTGTACCTTTGACTCTTTGACTTCCTCTCCGTGGGTCTCCTTTTCTAATCCAAGCCAATCATTCATGATCACATCCTCCTTAAGATGATTGCTGGTGCCAGTGCTGAAGGAATCATTTAGACACCACCACACTCGTCATATTTTTGTCATTATCAGGATAGACAAGAGAAAAGAAAGAAGGTGATAAATGGAAGAGGGTTGGAGAAGAGGCCTAGGAGGGCCCAGAGTCAGCAGATACCAGATCACAAACTTTGGTGAGGGGCTGGATGATGCCCGTTGGCTTCGTCCCAGTTCCAGGGAGATTCCTGAGTTCCTGAGATTCCTGAGTTTGACCACACTGTGTGTTCTCAGGAATCAACGCCTTCTCTGGAGTCTCAGGGTGGCCTTTCTGTGCAGCCCCCAGCAAGTGTCATAGCCTTGCAGTGCAGCATCCAGTGCACTTATTAATCTATGTCTGGAGGGCATCGACTGATCCTTGCCTTCCTCCTACCTACAAAAGCCTTCAGTAAATGTTAGTTTAACTGAATATTGTGCTCAGCACCTCTTTTATCAATACTCAGGAACTTGCATATGCATTAACTCTTTGGATCACCAACTCCCTGAGATCAGCTGGGTTTTTCTTGACGTACAAGGAAATGAGAACAGGAACGGGATGTGATACGGTGGGACCCACTGATGGTTAGAGGTCACAGTTCTCACGAAACATTGTCCTCCCTTCCACACCAACTGCAAGTTTACAAGGGTCTCCAAACACGCTCAGGTTCTCTAATTTGCTACAAAGACTCACAAAGAGAATGGAGCAAGTAATCAGAACAAACAAGAGGCAATATAATCCAAGACTACTGGGCACAGAGAAAAGCCACTTGGTAACATTCAGTTCCCATAAGGGCCAGGTGTCCTTTCTGCAGTGGGCTTCCTTTAAATCCCCTTTGTTCTTCCAACAAGCGGGTGAAACTTAAGCTAGCTTTAGTGAGTTTCTGTAAGTTAACTGCGACTAAGGATCCATTCCTGAGATTCCCATACTATTTGTCAGAACAGAGATGGGGTGGTGCCTACAGGTGAGACTGACACGCTGAAAAGAGGGAAAGAGGCATGCATGGGAAGGGCATGAGCCTCCACACGATTTACTGGGGCATCTCTACTTTTGGTGAAACAGCAAACAGAAGAGGAAACGGCCTGTGAGGTGGAATCAAGTGGAAGGTCAAATGATGGCCCTGTCCAATCTCATCCTGACAATATCCAGCTCACCCTTGCATGGTGGTCCTCAGTGGAAAACAAACCCGTACAGCAGAACAGAGATGTTTACACGGACTCTCCTATCACACTGTCTGGGCTGGAATCCCGACTTCACTTCTCATGAGCTCTGTGATTTGAGGCAAGTCGATAATTTTTTTTCTGTACAAGTACTGGTCCCCTCAGGGAAGAGATGGCATACTAAAATTAATCAGTTAAAAAGAGTTTAGTGAGCAGGATGTGGTGGTGCACACCTGTAATCCCAGCATTTGGGAGGCTGAGACAGGAGGATCGCTGCAAGTTTGATGCCAGCCTGGACTCCACAGTGAGTTCAAGTCCAACCTGAACTACATAGGGAGACCCTGTCTCCCCCCCCCAAAAAAAACCCAGAGAGATAGAGAGATATTAATGAGGGTACAGACAGGGCTAGGAGAATTACTGAGGGATGATGATGTACCCAGCCCCCCGCACTGTGGTGTATTAGTTTCCTGTGACTGCTGTAACAAATAACCACAAACTTGGCGGCTTAACACAGAACAAGTTTATTAGCTAAAAGTTGTGGAAATGAGAACCCTGAAATAGGATTTACAGGGCTAAAATTTAAAACGAGGATGTGCTTCCTCTACGTCCTCAAGGGGAGACTTTTCTTGCCCTTGCCAGCTTTGGGAGGCCGCCGATTCTCTTTGGTTTTGCCCCCTCTCTCCATCTCCGAAGCCAGCAATGGAGCTCTTGCGAACCTCTCTCACACTCAGACACGGATATCTCCCCACCCCAAGATCCTCACCTTTGCACAGCTGCGAAGTTTCTTTTGGCAGTAAGCCCACACACTGCAGCTCCCAGTGACCGAGGCGGACATCTTTTGGGAGATCATTGCTCTGCCTGCCACAAGTAGGAGCTGTTACCTTTCCTAACCCTAAAGGGGCAGAAAAAGGAATGATTTACAGAGACAGGTATGACAGTGGGAGGATGCACACCCCCACCCCAAAGCAGAGGTAGGTCCACGTGGGGCCCAGGGGTGGTGGAAAAGATCCCAGACCTCAATCTCTTTTCGTCCTGTGTCTGCTGACCAAACTTAACTGGAAAGCAAGATGCAAGGACACTTGTAACGCAGTCCCTACAACTCCAACTTCTGGGGCACAAAGCAGAACTCAGAGAACAGAGAATGGGTGGAGGGGCACCTTGCTCGTAAGTGGAACATGCTCTGCACCTTTTCCTCATTTGGTTCTGTAAACTGCACCCAAGGATCCAAGGAGATTTTTGTACCTATTTCAAACAGTAAGGATGTAAAAATAAAAAACTAAGCATTTAATATAGGTCTGGACATAGTACAAACTCAGTAAATATCAGCTTGCTTTAATTAATTAGATAACAGCAGTCACCTTTAGTTCTATGCCCTCTCCCCAGGTTAGCACACCTATGCCCCAAACTTCAACCACTGGTTCTGCTAACACTTTCCAAATATCTCTCTCCACCCCAGACCTCTCTGTCTTTTGAGACCCAGGTCCTTGTTAATGATGTCAAGGTATAATTTGTAAGTCACAAATGTACCTATTTTAATTTTGCAGGTTATGATTTCTGGTGGGTTTATAGAGTTGTGCAGCCATCACAACAGTCCAGCTTGGGAATATTCCATCAGGTCCAAGAAATCCCTCATGGACCCCGCAGTCAATCCCCACTCCCACCTCAGTGGGAATGCTCCCAGAAACCACAAATCCACTTCCTGTCTAATTCTGGACATGCCACATGAATGGTTTCTTACAGTGTAGGGTCTCCTGCATCTGGCTTCTTTTATGTAGCATCTTTTCAAATGCATCCATATTATATTTGGTATGTTTTGTTTCTTTCTTTTTGCTGGATAGCATCCCTCTGTGTGGACGTACTGTATTTGTTCATCTATTCACTGGCTCAGCCTTAGACTCCTAGCCTTACTGTTTCCGAAACACTGCTCCCACTCAAGATACTCCCTGTGTACCTCCTTCCAAGGCAACAGAATTCACCAGTCCTCAGCCCATCCCACCCCAAACTCTTGCCCTCTATCCCCAAATTTTACCTGGGGTTTTAATTCATGGAGATGACTGAGATGTGCTATGGACAGGTCACTGTCATTGGACAGGAAATATATTACTGAGGCTTAGGCCACAGGGAAGCATCAGGTTTGGTGAGGAGGCAGAGCAGAAGGGAGAGCAAAACTTGGGACAGAACATGTGTTGAGATTTCCGTGGGAACGGTGAGGTGGCACAAACAGATCAAGATTGGCTAGTTGGAGTCGTTCCCGCAGACTACGGGGTGTGGGGTGATCTCTAGACAACTGGTTCCTCGTCCCGGTGACTTGGGCAGGGAGATACTGGCTCAGTGTGTTAGAGTTCAGTAAAGAACTGGCATCTGACAGGCATGGTTTTAACAATAGTTATTATCTTTAAGAATTAGCCCACCCTGGGAGTAGTCTCGTCCTGGACCTGTAAGGCCCCCAAAATGTCAAACATATCAAAAATAAAGAAACATAATTAACACACTTTTAGGTTCTCCACCTTAGTCGTGACTTTAACATGAAACACATGATTCATCTTCCATCCACCCTTCTCTTCCACATCCCATAGTAAACTGGGAACCCATATCCACCCCTCCTCCCTCCAGATATGCCTCAGATGGCTCCTCCTCTGCCTCTCCAGCCTCACAACCATCACCCTGGCACACGTCTTCGGTGGTTCTGCCCCAGAACTACCCACTGATCCTCACTCCATGTGAGAGGCTGTGGTAGACACGGCTAGGCTGGCTCCTGCATTGGAATGCTCCGGAGAAACAGAATGTATCGGGTGCATGTACATCCTGGATAGAAAGAGCCTTGTTATAAGGAATTGGGCCATATGATGGAGGAGGCTGACAGGTTCCAAGCTGTGCAGGGTAAGTGGGTGAGTTGGAGACCCAGGAGAGCTGATGTTTACTTCCAGTCCAAATCTAGAGGCCAGAGAACCAGGAGAGCTGATGATGTAGTTTAGGTCCAA